GGGCTGTGATGCAGGGCTGGCAGTGATGCAGGGCTGGCAGCGGTGCAGGGCTGGCTGTGGTGCAGGGCTGGCTGCAGCAGCTCCTGCCCAGCCTGGCCCAGCTCGGTGGACAAGCAGCTCCAGTGCCTCTCCTGCCAAGTGATTTTTCTTTTCATCTCATGACATTACACAGTGCTGTTTAGATATATTGTCTGTCCTTTTCTCACATTACAGGGCTTCTCTGGCTGGAGTGCAAGGTCTGTGTGAGCCTGCTGGCAGTAAGATGGTCAGAAGACACAGAAGGTCTCAGACTGGGATTTGAAGAAAATAGTGGGAGTGAAAGGGAGAGCATTGTCTATACACATCATGGTGAAATGCCTCGCTAATATCACAGAAATACTTGTATAATTACTCACTTAATAGTTATCTCAATTATATTGCTAGCAGTGGAAGAGCGCTTTACTATGTGGATTTACTGATTTTAGAGCATGCAGTGTTGAACTGGAAAAAATTAGAGAGTTGAGACAGTGAATCAAATGATGATACCCCCCCGGGGAAATCCACAAATAAGTACATTACTGGACAGCAGGAAAAGTGGCTGGAAGCCAGGCAGAATAAATAGGATCAGTCCCAAAGGAAATTATTAAAAATAGGCAGAAGTAAAAGAAGTTCTATGCTAATGCTGGACTGGGAACCAAGCTACTATACAGACCAGTACTGGTTTTCCAAGAATTTCCCATTTCCAAGAATGTCCTTTCTGCATCTATTTTTAGACTGTGGTTTCCTTCCTAAAACAAGCTATGTAGCAACATGCCAGTGGGAAAGTGCTGCGAGGTTAGTCCTGTGAGTCAGTACAGAGCACCTGGCCTCTGGGCAGAAATCCAGAGCAGCTTCTTGCCAAGGAAGTAGCTTGTACAAATTGAACTCTGTCCACCTGTTTGGCATTGTTTGCTCATGATTTATGTCTCGCACTACAGACGTATTTGCCACAATGAGCTATTTACAGGAGTTTAATAGTAATCGTTGGAATTGGCATGGAACGCACTGGCAAGCGCATGCATGAGATACGTGTATTTCTTCCCCCTTGCTCTGCCTCCTCTCCCACTGAAAGGCTTTCTTTCTTTGTCTGCAGCCAGCGGCACACATCACGCAGCTCCGCTCTGCAGCACGGTGCTGCGCTCAGCAGCAGCACTGCACTGGCTATGCTGCTCTTGAATTAGCCAAATGACTCACATTCTTCCCTCAAAATCAGCTACTGTAATCTTTAAAATACTCTGAGGAAAAGAATCTTTGAAACTAGTCGTAAGAATGACATCAAGGCCATTATTCTTCCACTGAGTTTAGTTCTCCGTGACGGCAGCGTAAGGAGAGCACTGTGTGCGGAGCAGGCCTCTTGGACTTCAGGACGGTCTGTCTCTCGTGGTGGAGACATCGTGTGGGCTGGGAGACACTGAGGCATTATGCCATGTGCTGGAAGCCCAGGTGCATTTGGTGTTCAGGTAAAAGAAGCCCTTGGCTATAACCAAACTTCAGCTAGGGGAGCATGCCACGCAGCAGCTCTGCGTTCTTCATCTGCCGCTGGCATCAGAGCTCGCTGAAAAACCGAGGCCTGCTACTGGCTCTTGGCTCTTTGAAATCCAAACCACAACCCCAGTGTAGCCCTACACCTATGAATTCAGATAGTACTCTGTGATTTCAAAAACAGGGGGCTTGCCTGATAGAAAATTTTTTAAAATCTCCGTTAAACCATCTGTTCAATCTGTTTTCTAAAAACTAGCCTGTATCCATTTGCTTCTCTCCTGAGAACTAATCCTGTCCCACGATAAAAACCCTAAAATCAGAACTGATAATTTGGCTGACAATATGTGAAGAGCTCTGCTGCTTAATTAGTTCTGCAATGCTGCTGACAGTAATTACAGCCTCCTTTTGTGTCAATAACTAAGTCAGCAACTCTCAAAAAAGATTCAGGGCCTTGTTTGTCTTTTAGTAATGTCACTTTTGCATCACTGTAATTTCAGTGATAACAGTAGAATTACCCTTAATGTGCAGTAGAGTAAGTGAAAGGAACATCTAGATGTATACCTTGGGGGTTGGGTTTGCAGTCACATTTTTGATTTTAAAAATATGTGTCAAAAATTACAAGCACTGGTCAATTTTCCCTGGGAAATAATACTAAACTGATGCTTTGCACAGGTGTTTGGAGCTTTTGTTAGTGGTTTTGGGGACAAGAATTGCAGCTCTTGACAAAGCAACACTGAAGATTTATTGATGTCATTTTACAGAGTTAGAGTCCTGCTGTTTGAGAAAAAGGAAGCAAAACTGCAATCTGGAGAACTGAATGTGCTCCTGTATTCCCCATTAGATGTGGCCATCTGAATTTGAAGGAGACCTTTGTGGAATTTCATGGAAGAGCTGTCTGTGCACAGTGGTGGTTAGCAGAACGAGGAGGGTGCAATGGAGGAAATACGGATTCTTGCCACATGGTGCTGATGGAGTAAATATGGTTTATTGCTGTACGGTGCCAATAGGGTAAATATGGATTATTGCCATATGGTGCCAATGGAGTAAATACAGATTATTGCCCATGGCTACCGGCTTTGGAGCCCCGAACCGGGTTTCAGCTGTGAGGTGCTTTACCTAGGCAAAGGGGAAAGGGAGAAGATTCAATTAGGTATAAGGTTATTTATTAACAGAGAGTTCATAGCTGTGACTGAAAATTTCATTTTTAGTGAGTCCTCATTAGTGTACGACTTGGCTTTTTTAGATGTGCTCTCTCTGCATGCCTCGTTACAGGACTGTGTGAGAGTTAACAGGGATAATGCGAATGGCGAGATACTTAGGTCAGAAGCATTATAAACCCGACTATTCCCCCAACGCGACAGTAAATCACATCCCGGGCAGTAATTGACAGCTTCCCTCGGGCCTGGCCGGGCCCGCCCCTCAGGC